TCGCATTTGAAAGATTTGTATTGAACAAAAAATTCGATTTGATACTTTAAAAATTACTAAATATTGGTCTAAACGCAAAATAGCTCAAAACATCACAATAAGAAAATACCGTAAATCAAAAAAAGGTTTACTGTTATTTAGTTTGGTTCAAACCCTACAAAATCTTCATTGCTTTCACTGTAATTTATGTTTTTATTATTTAGGGAGCATTATAAATAGTAATGTTTTTAAAATAAAAAACTACTATTGTTATAGATAACACATTCAATTGCATGCCTATTCAAATATATTTACACATGGCTTGTGTATATCGTATATATATACATAAATATTATTCATACCTTCGATGTATAGGACGCAAGCAGATTTTGACATCAAATTTTGTGGTAAAAAAAGTGCGTCTTATACATCGAAAAATACGGTATATCTGGACGCATTAGGTTAGCCGTTAGCATACATGGCCAAAAGACGCTACCTACATTACTTTTCATCATTCTAATAAAAATAACGGTTTTTAACCTCACAGTATTGCCTAACTCACCAGTGAAAATGATGGCTTCCCACCTTTACACGGTGTATTAAACTTTTTAACAATATTTACCATGAAAAAGTACTCATGATACCATAAGGGAGTGACAAAAAATAAGTAATTAGGGTAAAAGAAACGTAGCCACTCCCTTAACCAATATCCTATGTTTAAACCTAAATACACTGATATGTATGAAAATTTAGAACATTTCAGGTGAGCATTTATAGTTCACTTTATTAAATAAAGGAGGTAGAATAGACCTAGTATGCTTGCATAATACAAATCTCACAGTGTTCATCTGTAGACCTCCCCCAAAGACATTGTATTTCTGAGGGCTCATGTGGTGATGTGGTAAAACAGGTTAATACTACAGTGCTTAGATAGATGTTGAAGTGGGGGGTGGATAATTTCCTCAAACATTTCAGGGACAGGTTGTACACCATCTGATGCTACGTTTAGAGGATTTAGTACTCGATGTTCTAGAGGACTGGATGGGGAACAACTCGATGACTAAGACAAAGTCACCACTGAATTGCATCTCAGATTTTACCCTGAGGAGAACTGACTGATCTATAGGGCTTAGTCCAAGGGTTGAAAACATGGATCCCATGAGAACTTGATTGCTTACTCAGATTACCTGAGGAGGTTGCACAGAAAGATCTTCTTCACGATGTTACTGCTGATTATGACGAGGTTCTCAGTAATAAGGGACTACTGAGCAAACCCATGTGGCACCACTTCAGTCTCAGGGTATTTTCATCTCTGACTGAAGCTGTTTCTTTGTTGGTGCAACTTGAGGTGATTACACCACACTAAATGTTATAGAAGAAGAATGATTTAACAGTAATGACTGATTCAGTTCCAAAACAACTCTAGGAACCTGTGGTGGTCAAAAGGATCAACCAAACTGTCTGTCAATAGCTCTGCTATTGTGGGTATCACAAGGTATCATGGTGCAGCTTCCATAGTGTCTTATGGGCAAAAGACCTATACGATCCAGTTCCCATGGCTGCACTACCTATGCAGTAGAGTTGAATTCGCGAATATGCCTGTTTCAACTGGATATTGTTTATATTCAGTTGTGAGACAGGATAGGTGAACACAGTTATTATTCTGGCTAGTGTTGCAGTAAATATGGGAGGGTCAATGACAATTTATGGGTACACCTGTTCTGGACAATTTAAATAAGAGAGGTCTTAAACCCTAAATTAAGTTTAGCCAGGCAAGTGTGGCATTTAGCTTATATCTAAAAGCATGATGGTTGGAACAGCCAGAATCTAATATAGTTTTGATTTGTTTCAGCACTTGAGGTGAAGCATCACTTCTGCTAGTTAATACAACTTTGTTCTGGCAAATGTTGACAAACTACTTGTGAGTACATAGGCGCCTCTCAAACTTACTTCATATTAGTAATGTCACTAATAAAGGTAGTTCTCCACAATCTTAGTTAAGGAATTTATATTTTAGGGATGGACCTCCTTTTTCAGAAGATCTTAGCTAGTTTTGCTTAAGCAAATGAAAAAAAAAATGCAAATCTGCATAGAAATCACCCAATGTTGACCAGACAGAGTGGTTTGCACTTGTATATGTTGAAAATAAGGTTGTAATGCCTGCAGACGTACACATGGGGAGGTAGACGTGTTTAGATGTTCAATGGCTTTATAAGCTCCTGAAGTCACTAGCAAAGGACCCCCATCTAATTTCATATTGATAAAATTCTTGAAAATAGTATGTCTTTCTTTTCAGTATTGGCAACTTTATGAATTTTTATTGCACTTTCAAAGTTTATTTTGTTAAGAAAAAATAGAACACAATTTCCTATCTTTTGCTATAAACGAGTTTTTATTTCACCCGTCCAACGGATGGGTACTCAAGCTAGTAATACATAAACATTGCATAGCACAGAGACTGCTAAAGGATCAGCGAATTTTGGTTGTACAAATCAAGTGTTACTGAGTTGTTTTTTTATGTTTTTTTTTCAAATCAAGCGTTATTGACATAGAAGACAATTAAGTGTGAAAAACTTATGCACCAACCTATAGTTAGTGTTTCTGGGTTAAATTGATCTTGTTTTTGGTGCAGGTGTGGGATAACTAACTTACGATACATCTACCAAATTCGTAGTTAAATAAGCACTGAGAATAACTAGAAGTAAGAATATGGAAGGAGATTATTAAATGCAAGTCAGTTAAAAACAATGGTTAGTTGTAATGTCAATGAATATTATATGATTATTAACGTCCAGTAGGTTTGGTTTTGAATTTCGCGCAAAGCTACACGAGGGCTATTTGCGCTAGCCGTCCCTAATTTAGCAGTGAAAGACTAGATGGAAAACAGTTAGTCATCACCACCCACCGCCAACTCTTGGGCTACTCTTTTATCAACGAATAGTGGGATTAACCGTCACATTATAACGCTCTATGACTGAAAGGGCGAGCATGTTTGGTGGATGAAGTAAATCAGACTAATACAACTTTTTATAGATCTTAATTAGATACTTTACCATCGACCAAAATACTTTAATGGTGAAAGTTTGTACCAGAATGTTATTATTTTGAACCATCCTGTGACATTGATGGAATATATGATAAACTGATTATAAGGAACACTTAATGCAAAGCACGAAATTAATCAAAATGCATGCATGTAACAATATTTCAATATCTCAAATGTTAAATAAGTTTGTTTTGTTTGTTGGATTTTGTGCGAAGGTACACGAGAGCTATCTGTGCTCGCCGTCCATAACTTTGAAATGCTAGATTAGAGGGATGTGGTTAGTAACACCACCCATTTCCAACTCTTGTCAGACCGAACAGCGAATTTGACATTCAATCTTATAACGCACCCACTGCCCGAAAGT